AACAATGCAGGTATATGAATTATATAAATTATACCTCTAAAAAAAACACCCTATGAAAGCGCTTTTTGGAGAAAAGCGCTTTCATAGGTAGACCTATGACAACGCTTTTTCACATAAAGCGTTGTCTAAGGTAAACATATGACAGCGCTTTTCCAAGAAAAAGCGCTGCTAAAAGACAACCTATGAAAGCTCTTTTCTAAAAAAAGCGCCACCAATGAAAGCGCTTTTTCATAAAAAAGCGCTGCTAAAAGCCTACTTAAGAGAGCGCTTTTTAGAAAAAGCGCTGCCAAAAGCCTACTTAAGAGAGCGCTTTTTAGAAAAAGCGCTGCCAAAAGCCTACTTAAGAGAGCGCTTTTTAGAAAAAGCGCTGCCATAAGGGTACTTAAGAGAGCGCTTTTTAGAAAAAGCGCTGCCATAAGGGTACTTAAGAGAGCGCTTTTTAGAAAAAGCGCTGTCATAAGTAGACCTACGAAAGCGCTTTTCATTAAACAAAAAGCGCTGCTAAAACCTATAGCAGCGCCACCTTAGAAAGCGTTTTTAAGCGCTTTTAAAGGCCAAAAAAAGCGCTTTCGTAGGTCTTTTTGGCATAGTGATTGGGTTAAATACTCATTTAAATAAGTGAAAAAGATATCACATATTTGTTTAAAATATCACAACATTGGATATATGAGCTCTTTCACATATAAAATGGTTCAACCTCAATTTTTCTAAACAATGTCGTACTTCAAACTTACAGTTATATCTCAACATTAGTTGTGAGGTAGTCGAAATGTCAAGACATCTATTTTTGAGTGTTTATTCTTTGATAAGATGTGGTTTGATCTGGTAAATGTTAGTGCGTGAGACACTTTTAGTGAGGAGAGAAAGAGAGAATGAGAAAATAAGGAATCTATTATTGAATTGAATTGTACAAAATGAATTACAAACTATGTATATTTATATACATCTAACTTGTACACTAAGTATGTTAACAAACCCTAATTGGGTTTGGGCTTGAATTACACAACTTGGATTATATCTAATATTATATCTAATATCTCAACAAACCCTCTATAATCCAAGTTGTCGAACCTATGCTAGTCATAGTCGATCTGAACAATAAGTGAAATCTAGCTTCGATGTGCTTAATCCTTCCATGCAAAACTAGATTCTTTACAAGATTAATGGCTGACTTATTGTCGATCTACAACAATAGAGGTTTCTTCACTTCGACCTCAATCTCTTCCAACACATATCTGATCCAAATTGCTTGACATGCAATGTAGAATCCTGATATATATCCAGCCTGACACGATGACAATGTCACCACAAGTTGCTTTCTCGAGCACTATGAGATTGGGACACCAAATACTTGAAAGAAATAATCATATGTGCTTCTTCGATCTTCCTTATCTCTACACTAATCAGCATCCGAAAAATAAGTAACCGTAACTTTTTCACTTTTAGAATCTCGTCGAAATAGAATTCCACAATTTATCGATCCTTTTAAGTATCTCAGGATTCTTCTTGCAGCCTTCATGTGCGACACCATTTGTTCACTCATGTATCTGCTTACTAATCTTACTGTGAAACCTATATCAGATTGACTGTTGCACACATATCTCAAAAATCTAACTATTTGTTTAAACAAAGTTACTTCAACTTTGTCTTCCTCTCCATGCTTCTCCAACTTCAAATTTGGTTCGACAAGCGAGGATGCTGGAGTCGAATCATTCATCATGAATCTCTTGAGTATCTATTTGACATACTTCCTTTGATGTAGCATTATTCCTTGCTTCGATATTTGAAATTCCATGTCTAGGAAATAAGACAATTTTCCTAGATCTGACATTTAAAATTCCCTCATCATCAGCTCTTTGAACTTCGACAAGTTCTCCAAGCTATTTTCAGTTACCAACAAGTCATCGACATATAAGCATATGATCGTTATATCTTGTACCACAACCTGGAAATAGATAATATACTCAAATTTGCATTTGACGAATCCCAATTCGACTAAGTATGAGTCGATCTTCTTGTTTCATGCCCTAGGTTCCTTCTTGAGGCCATAGAGCACTTTATGCAACTTATAAACCTTACTCGCTTCCTTCTGAATCACAAACCCTAGAGGTTGTGTGACATAGACCTCTTTGTCTAAAGGATTATTTAGAAATGTTAATTTTACATCTAAATGAAATATCGACCAACCTTGCTTGTACGCCAAGGCCACCACTAGTCGAACAATCTCCAATCTTGCTATTAGAGCAAATACTTCAGAGTAGTCGAGTCCTACTCTCGAATGACCAAACCTCAAATACCACAACCAACTATCCTTGTAGTCGACAAATATTTTCAAGCATTGTACCTCTATCGAACTGATCATAGTCTTAAACGTGTGATTCTTAGACAACAAAGATTTTAAGACCAAATTGTTTTGAGCGTCAAAAAAATCTAAAGCTTCATCTATCATGACGATTGAGAAACCTTTTTCGACCAATTTTCCAACACTCAGTAGATTATACTTAATGCCAAGTACATAAAGTACATATTTAATCAAGGCTTTAGCTCAATTGCTCCTTTAAATAACAATGTCGCATGTACCTTCTGCTTGAAACGAGCTATTATCAACAAGTTTGACCTCGCTTTTCTTTGACTCGTCGAAATCTACTAGCCACTCCTTTCGACCATTTATGTGATTCGAGAAACCAGAGTCGAGGAACCAGATCTTGGATTCGATATGGTTATCAATAATTGCAACCATAACCACCATATCATCAGGATCATCTTAATCTTGACGTGCAAGATTCGCTCCTTCGTCCTTGCCTTTTGTTGGTCCCTTGTCCTTCCTGTACCAACAATGCTTGGTCAAGTGACCCCATTTTTCACATTTATAGCATTGTACACCTTTTTTTTCTCTTCTTTGTCTGTCTGATAGAAATTTCCTTCTTCTCTTTTTGAGGATTCAGAAGCTCTGTCATCGACCTTATTCTTGTGGGGATTCGACCAAGACTTCTTGCCCCGAGTCTTGTCGAATTTTTCTTTGAATTTGTTGGAACCACCATTTTTTCAATGACTGAGCCTTAAGTACTTGTATTGAGTCTTGAACTCATTTCCTTTCGACAATCATAATCTCATTCGTTTCCAACAAACCAACTAAATCTTCCAGTTGTAGGGTTTTAAGTTGGTTGGATTCTTGAATAGCTACGATAATGTGATCATAGTGAGAGGTCAACGTACACATTACCTTCTCAACTATCATCTTATTAGTTAGAGTTTCACCACAATCCTTCATGAGATGGACGAATTTTTACACCTTCGACACATAGTCTGCAATCTTTTTGTCTTCTCTCATCGACAACAATTCATATTGTCATTGCAAGGTTTGCAACTTGACAACCTTGACTTTCTCACCTTCTTCATAGTACTTGACAAGAATGTTTCATGCCTCCTTCGCTGATTCAGTACGAGAAATTTTGCCGGAGTTTTCTAAATCTACCGCCATTTGAATGCAGTACGCAACATTGCCACCCTTCTTCTTGACTTCATTATGAGCGATTCTCTGTGTGTCGGTTGCATCTGCAACCAGCGCATGAACGCCATTAGTAACCACTTATAGGGTTTCATGAAATCCAAACATAAATTGCATCTGTTTTCTCCATCGAATCCAATTCTTGCCATCAAGAGTTGGAAGAGAATTCAGAATGTCATTACTATCATTTATCTTCACTGTGATTGATTGACAATAACCCACAATTTCTAACGTGTGATTCTTAAAAACACGATCAAGAATCTAATCATATCTCTAAATATTAATTTGTTAATGTGTGACGAACTTTTAATGAGGAGAGAAAGAGAGAAAATAAAAAAATAAAAATTTTATTATTGAATTGAATTTCTACAAATTAAATTATAAATTATATCTATTTATATAAACTTAATTTATACATTAAAAAAATTAATAAAAACTTAATTAAACTTGAGTTTAGATTATACAACATATATGTTATATTTAATATCCAACTGTAAAGTGGTTGAGTTAGTAGCATAATGATTAACGGTAGTTTTCTTTATGGTAGTATGTTTGATGGATTGGTTAAAGTTATGCACGAAAGCCTTCCCATTATGTTGTTACCTAGTATTCAAATTATAATTCTTTTTTTTGTCAAGAGGACATCAATTAAAGATTGACTTTTAAAAATAATGAAAATTAAGAGTCGACTTTTAAACCATTTTCTTAAAAGTTACATTAAAAAAATGATCAAGAGTCTCTAGTTAGTTTTGAGTCATAATCAAATTTTAATAATGCAAAGCTAATCCAATTCCCATAAAACCCAAATTCCCCTCTTGTGATACAAGCATAGAACACCACATAAAATGTTAGTTAAATCTAATACTTTAGTATAGTTGGTCCATGTAGTGCAAGGTGTTGCATTGAGAGAGTGATGATGGTGTTACAGCTCGTGATGAGATATAAAAAGAGGAAACAACTGAGTCAGATCTTGTCTGCCAAGTATGGTGGGAATATGAGCCATCACTCTCCTATCTTGTGAAATCTTTGCCTTCTTGTCTAGGGTAGGCTACTTTCCTTTTCATGGACACTCTTTTACCTCCATACAAAATATATTATTAATAACAGAAAGATTATGAGTTCAACTTCAATCTTAAATATCTACTAATCTTAAATTTTTAAGGAGAGTTTTAATTTTTATTGTGATCTAATTCAATGTATTTAGTTCATATATAATCTAAATATATTAATTATTCAATTAATCTAATTCAATGTATTTAGTTCATATATTTATTTATTTATTGATTTTCTAAATTCACTTAAAAAAAAACTTAAACAAACATTTATTTTAAAAGATAAGAATGGAAAAATTACTAATTAGTCATCAAAAGTTTTCTCTTATTTTTTTTCTATTTAGATTGTAAAAACTACTAACTTCTTTGTCTTTTCTCATTTTCTTTATCTCTCTTGTGCTCTGACAGAGAAATAAAACCAAACAAAAACAAAGTAAAACATGAATGTTGCTACAAGTTTTGAGACAGAGAATTCTGAGTTTATAGAAGTTGATCCTACTGGAAGATATGGAAGAGTACATACTCCGTTTTTTACTCATCACCTTTCTTTATTTACTTCTTTAAACTTTCATCACATGCATGTATTCTTTGTTTTTTGATTATGTCTTTTGAATTGCATGTTTAACAGTACAATGAAATTCTTGGCAAAGGAGCTTCCAAGACAGTGTATGTATACTCATATCCTTAATCTCTTTAACTATCACGTAGATATAATAAAGTTTATACAGAAATAGATGGCAAACAGACAACAAATTGCGATGCAAGCAAACAAACAGGCAACAAAATCTTCAACTCTAATGAGATTTTTGTGTTCACCAATTTTTGTTGTTGTTGCAGATATAGAGCATTTGATGAGTATGATGGAATAGAAGTAGCATGGAATCAAGTAAAGCTTTATGACTTTTTGAAAAATCCTCAAGACCTTGAGAGGTTATACTGTGAAATTCATCTTCTCAAGACATTGAAGCATAAGAACATCATGAAGTTCTACACTTCTTGGGTTGATACTACCAATAGACACATTAATTTTGTCACTGAGATGTTCACATCTGGGACTCTAAGACAGTAAGCTTAATCCTCTCTTTTTAACTCTTTAAACATTAGATGGATAAATGAAGCTCAAAATATTATCATCTATTTAGCCATGTCTGTGTCCTGTATTTTTTACGTTATCGGTGTGTTGGAGTGTCTGTGTCTGTGCTGTGTCCCTAACTTATATCAAAACAAATTGACTTTATTGTAACTTTTCTTATAGATATATCATATACACAAATATGATAAGTCCTTAAATAAGTTGTTTATCCAAACAGAATTTTAATTCAAGTCATTTTAGCTTCTTCTTCTTGTTTTTGGCTTGTAATGTGAGTGTGCTTATATTCATTGTCTTGTCTATGCAGGTACAGACTTAAGCATAAAAGAGTTAATATAAGAGCTGTTAAGCATTGGTGCAGACAGATTTTGGAAGGTCTCCTCTATCTCCATAGCCAGGACCCTCCTGTGATCCATAGAGATCTCAAATGTGATAACATTTTCATCAATGGTAACCAAGGAGAAGTCAAAATCGGTGATCTTGGCCTCGCTGCAATTCTCCGCAGATCGAATGCTGTTCACTGCGTTGGTATGTACACCAGTAGATGAGTTTGAATAAGTCGCGATCATAACAAGCTCTATATCGGTTTAGTACATTGGATTTGCTTATTTCTCTTCCTTGTTTCACTTCAGGAACACCCGAGTTTATGGCTCCCGAAGTATATGAAGAGCATTACAATGAATTGGTTGACATATACGCTTTCGGAATGTGTATATTGGAGATGGTCACCTTCGAATATCCTTATAGCGAATGCAACCATCCTGCTCAAATTTACAAAAAAGTTGTCTCTGTAAGAACCTTAAAATAATGAATAATCCATCAAATTAGTCTTTCTAGAATCACTTATTTTCATGCTTATTATTATGCAGGGAAAAATGCCAGAATCACTTTACAAAGTAAATGATCAAGAGGTTAAGCAGTTTGTAGAGAAATGTTTGGCAACTGTGTCCCTTAGGCTCTCGGCTAGGGAACTCTTAGATGACCCTTTTCTCCAAATTGACGATTATGGATCTGACTCGAAAGAATTTCAGTTTCAAAGAGGTTGCTATGAAGTAACACCAACACTTAGACAAACTGTGAATGGAAGTTATAGCAATGGCTTAATGAGCTTGGACACTGATAATCCTGGTGGTTATCAAAATGATTTTGATCTCTTTGATTGTGAACAGGATTATAATTTGGATAAAGTTGATACCTCAATCAAAGGTAGGAGAAGAGATGATGGCATCTTTCTGAGAATCAGAATACCAGATAAAGAAGGTTCGTCGTGGCATTTCTCGTTTCTTTTTTTCCTATTGAACTCGGTGTAGTCTTTTATTATTCCGTATTGTGTTGTTTTGGTTCTTCTCAATTGGCTTTTTGTAGTTGCTACATATAATCGATGCAACCAAATTAACAATTTCATCTTGCTAAATAGGTCGAGTTCGAAACATCTACTTCCCGTTCGACACGGAGACTGATACCGCATTGAGTGTTGCGTATGAAATGGTTGCGGAGCTTGACGTAACTGACCAAAACTTAACAAAATTAGCAAATATGATAGATAATGAAATCGCAACTTTGGTACCAGGATGGAAAATGGGACCAAGAATAGATCAAGTTTCAGAAGCTTCTAGTGCAAGTTTCTGTCTCAACTGTGCTGCAAACAATACCTTAGTTGATTATGTATCATCCAATAATCCATGTGCCAAGAATCTTCAATTTTTCCATTGTTCTAAAAGCGGATGTGCCGCGGTTCACGGAAGATTCGAGGAGATTACGTATCAATACGATGGGTCTGCAAACACTGCTACAGAAGCTGAACCACCAAGTCAACCCAATGGCATTCATTATGCAGATATCTGGGGTCAGCGAGACGAACGAGAGTCAAATCATGAAGAACTGAAAGACATTCATTGCGATGAATCTCACGAGAAATCTAAACTATCACTCATAAAGGAGGATGAAGAGGAGAATAGTGTTAATGTAGATGACCAAATTAATCTTAATACCAAAAGGCCTCCTTCTAGCCCTGCAGCATCAGAATGTTCATTATTCTTGGACTATGAAAATGATATAAGGCATGAATTAAGATGGCTCAAAGCAAGGTACCAAATGAATTTAAGAGAGCTTAGAGGCCATCAACTAGGTAGTAGTACTAAACCAAAATCTACTTGCACGTCTCCTGAAAAATTACAAAACAATAACTCATTATCGATGTTTACCGCTTATAAGTATTTTTCAGTTGATGCTGCAAAATGCAACACTTTGGATGACCAAATTATTCCAAGTATTGCTTGTGATACAAGTCATCCTAACAATTCTCAACAAATGGTCACGGCCAAGGATTTCTTTGCAAGAGCTTTGCTTCCAACCTCGCTTCAAAGGGCAACCTCACTTCCAGTCGATGCAGTTGATGTCTAGATAGAATCAGGAAATATTTTTTCTCATCAGAAGAAGGCACCAACCTAATGTTTATAGCTTAGTGCATGTTCGGATTTGCAGTGAATTTAGTAAAATCACGCTGATACGCCTTGGTTCTGCTAAAATCACCGTTAATCCAAACACGTCAGATGTAAATCGTAGTAGAGACTAGACACTAACACAATCACATAAATGTACGAAAGTTTTCCCTTGAGTTGCTGAATAGCAGATCCATCTACTATATAGTATGATGTTTTCAAGAGGCTAGACTTGGTTGATGATATCGTGCTTTATTTGATTATATTATGTCAAGTTTTTCTATAATATACAAGTTTTTATCTATTTATTTATGTTAATTTTTCCATCTTCATATATAATCATATACTTGTGCAATTTGGATAATATGAAAAATGAAGTTATTAAGATTTTAGTGTGATAATGTTGAGTGTTGAGCAAAGTATGAACACTTGTGAATAACAGCTAGCAAAGCCATGTGGTTTTGCTGCCACATAGAAATATTTCATAATTAATAGGTAGATATATGCAAAGGAGTGGTAGATATTGGGAAAGTTAGTAATAAGTTTGTAGATATTGTTATTTCTGTTCACAGTATCTACATTAATGTTACTCTGAAAAGCAGAGATGGGTTCATACACTCCCACTTGGCATCATAAAGTTGTTGCTTTATCATTCATTTATGACACTTTACAGGTAAACTGCAACCTGCAATTATGAAAACTGAAACTAACCAGAATTATGAAAACTTCAATTACAAGTAAAGTTGTTCCTTTATCATCCATGTTAGAGGTCACTTGACAAGGTATGAAACTAACCGAGACGCCAACTGCTACGCTGTAGCGGCCGGCCACCGTTCTGCATGTTCTCTCGGGAGAGATAACGCCACTATTTCCTGGAATTGATAATTCTGAAACCAACCCAACACTTTTGTTGTAATGCAGTTAAGACTGTTAAAAAAACTGAAGTTAAAATAATCGAATTACTGAGTTTGGTTAGTGAATCAAATGTGTATTGGACAAACAGTTATAGAACTGAATCAATAACAAATAAACCGAAGTAAAATTAGAAATGAAAAATACTAAAAGCTGAAGGTAGAGAAAAACACAAGAAAAAGAGATTTGAATTGGATTTTAAGAAAATATTCTTCTTTAGAAAAATATTTGATTTAACTATGAAAGAATATAGAATGCAATAAATATAAAGAAACACATTCAGTCAGGTTCACTATTAACTAGGCTACTCTTGTCCATCTTCCTCAGATGATTTTGCCTTCAACAAGGACTTAATTCACTATAATCAAATTGATTACAATGGCACGGGCTACCCGCCGGTGACTAACAAACACAATGGTCAGCAATCATTGACCCCTTAAGAAATCTGACATACCTGGTCTTCTTAACAGGATTTCACAATGAACCGCAACCATTGTCATCTCGAGTCTTCTGATCTTCACTCGATCACTTGAGGAACAACACAATGATACGTTAAGTGATCTCTAGGAGATATAACGGTCATTGACCCTATCAGAAATCTGATCAAACCCAATCTTTCTATGAGGGATTTCTCACAATGACCCTCAGTCAGTGATCTCCTAAGATTTATAACTCACCTGATACACTTAGAGATATTAGCGATCATTGACCCCATAAGAATTATGACCAACTGGTCTCCTTAGAATAGGATTTCATCTACGAAGGTCGGAACACTCGTCTTCTCAAGCTTTATAAACTCCACTCGATTACTTGAGGAACCACCAATTCTAAACATAATTATTTTTTCTGGAGATTACATGAGTGCTTCTTATCAAGCAGGTTACTCATATATTAAATACATATTATTTAACACAATTATGAGCAACTACTCTTGTGTACAAACAACTTACATGAAGATTCTTAAGAAATAAAACAATCTAAGCAACAACTCTTGTGTTTTACAATCTTTCTACATAGACGAATATAATCTAAATTAAATGCAGCATCTTATAGTCTTTGTGTCTCCATCTTCTTCATTGAGCAAGTTATGAGCAACAACTCCTTGCTTTTTCATAATTCTTCCAACATGTATATGATTCATAGTTGAATAACATCTTGTAGAACTCTTCATCTTCATCTTCTTTCTTCATTAAGCAAGATATGAGCAACAACTCCTTGCTTATTCATTTCATCTTTACAACGTTGTAAATATTTGCTATTAAGAACATCAATGTTGTTTGAACTTAGACATTGTCTTCTTTGCCAATATCTTCGTCACTGAATTTGAAGCTTTAGTCTTCTTTATATATCCTCTAGATGAAAAGATTCGTTGTAAGGATAGAGAAGTCTTTTCTCCTTCAAACGGTTGAATTTTAACTGATATATTCAAGAGAGGTTTGGAATAGGACGAAACGTCACTTTCCTATACATTTTGCCTGCAGTAATGGTGTACATTAGTGGGTTAACAACTACTATGAATAATATATTGTTATTGTATTCTTTTCTTCTTGACTAAGTTTCTTGATCTTTATCTTCGGATGATGTGCTTCTGATTATGAAGTATTAAACTTGGAAGAGATCAATCACTTTGTCTTCGTTCTTCTGATGACTGACTGATGAGTAGTTCAGAAACTACTTTGTTGTTGTAGCACTGGAACACCAGAGTGTCAGAACCAAATCTTGTCTTCAGAATTATGGGCAACAACCTATCTGAAACACAAAGTTTTTCTTCTGATCCAGAACTACTTTTGAAGACATATTTATTTTCTGATACGAGAAATGGTTGTTGTGTTGAGAAGATGTTTCTCTTCAGTTACTTTCAATAGTGGATTTTTGTTTTCAGAATAATCGACAACAGCCTATCTGAATAAAATAAGTCTTGATAGTTCGTGAAAGCTTTTCTGATGAAGATATCAAAAGATTTTCTGATGATATACATTGATATCAGATATTACGACAACAACCTATCTGATTCTCAAGTCTTTGAATTCTTGATCTTTGATTCTTTTCTTCTTGCTGAATTGTTTTTTATCTGAGGAGTTAATAATGATCCAGAAAATTCTTCTTTGTTGTAGAGTCATGGTCTTTCAGATATTTGAACATTGTCTCCAGATATACAAGCAACAACTTACCCTATGAACAACTTCTTTGAGTGAAAGCTCTTCTGATCTACTGCATCTTGATCTTGTTTTGATACTTTGATTATCAGCTTTTCTTAGCTGCTTATTTGATGTCTGATTTCTGAAGAAACAACTTATATTAATACATCTGATTTTTCACGTTGAGTTCTTTTAGGAAATTGATATCTTTGTTGTTAATTGCAAGATATTATAATAACAGTACATTATACTGTCATAACATCATATTATGTACCAGCTGTACATATATTCAATTTAGTATCTATAGCATCAATTTCCTTTAATATTAGGAAACTATTTTTGGAATGATTAGCTATTCCATTCAATCTTGTAATTATATATAGCATATGAAGACTCAATGAATCATATGACACTTTTCCATCTCAGAACAATTCTGTAATGGTATCAGAGCAGGTTATACATATAAAATAAAACATCTAAATCATGTCTGACAGTGAGGGTGAAAGTTCTCCTGTGAAATAATCTTCCAAGTCAGTCAATAGTGGCGATGGATTAGTCATCCGAAAAACCATCTCTCCCAATGATATCACTTCCAATGATAATCCCGGGAGTTTGATAACACAGGTTAAATTAAAGGGAGAAAACTATGAAGAATGGGCTCGTTCACTTAGAACGGAACTTCGAGCAAGAAAGAAATTTGGTTTTGTTGATGGATCAATCAGCAAATCTGACGAGGAATCTTCAGATCTTGAAGATTGGTGGACTAACAATTCCTTGTTGGCCTCTTGGATCATGAACACAATTGAACCTTCATTGTGATCAACTATGTTGCATATGGAGGTAGCCATGGATCTTTGGGAAGACATTAAGGAGCGGTTTTCCATTGTTAATGGACCACATATTCAACAGCTCAAAGCATAACTCGTTGAATGCAAACAAAAAGGAATGACCATTGTGACATACTATGGAAAACTGAAGAAGCTATGGGAAGAATTGGCGAATTACGATCAGATCCCGACATGCAAGTGTGGGCGTTGCAAGTGCAATCTCAGTTGTGTTGCAAAAGAAACGCGAAGAAGAGAAAATCCATCAATTCCTCATGGGATTGGATGACGCTCTCTATGGAATAGTAGGGTCCAATCTTCTCGCTCAGGATCCTCTACCTACATTGAACAAAGTTTATGCCACATTGATTCAGGAGGAATGGTTGCGCACAATGACTCGTACGGAAGAAGATCGTGGTGAGGTCATGGCGTTTGCAGTGCAGTCGAACTTCAAACGTAAAGAAAAAGGAGGAATGTGCAGTCATTGCAATCTAATGGACCATGATTCAGATGGTTGTTTTTAGGTAATAGGATATCCTGATTGGTGGGGAGATCGACAACGCGGACAGTTGAAGGGAACGGGCGTGGGAAGCCATAACAATATAATGTTGTTTTTAACAACAAAAAACGTGGAGGAGTTGTTAAGGCTCGTGTAGCACAAGCAAAATCATCTAAAGAAGAGGTTGCTTCTGAAACATCAAGTTCAGATATTTGCAATCCAGGAAATATTACTATTGATCAATGGCAAGCATTGGTCAGTCTTTTGAGCAATGTAAAACTAGGTGCAACCGAGAAGCTAATGGGTAAGTGTTCCTTTTTGCCATGGATTATTGATACAAGTGCATCAAATCATATGACCGGTCAACTAGAATGCTTAACCAATGTGCATAATATTTTTTAGTGCTTTGTTGGACTACCAAACGGTGAAGAGACGATGGTGACAAAAGAAGGAATTGCGATGCTCAATGAAAGAATAAGATTAACTAATGTCTTATATGTGCCTAGTCTACACTACAATCTTATCTCAGTATTGCAGCTGCTAAAAGATTCTAACTATACTGTTAAATTTACTGATAAATTTTGTCTTATACAGGAGGATGGCGATTGGAGCGGGTGAACAAAAAGATGGGCTATATTATCTTAAAGAGATGGTCAAATCAGCTGCAGTGAAAACAAATAAGGAAATCACTTTGGACCTGTTACATCACAGACTAGGACACGCATCTTTGAAGGCTCTGCAAATGTTTCAGAATGTTAGTTCTAGTAGAAACAATTATCTATGTACCCAATCATGTGAAATATGTCTTAGAGCAAAACAATCTCGAGATACTTTTCCAATTAGTGAAAATAAAGAAACTTCTGCATTTCATCTAATCCATTGTGATTTATAGGGGCCTTATCGCAACCCAACATTTCGTGGCGCTAGATATTTTTTAACTATTGTTGATGACTACTCGAGAGCGGTATGGATTTATCTCATTGTTGAGAAAACATAAGTCTCTAGATATCTTTTTTAATTCTTTGCAATGATTGAGCGACAATTCAATAAACAAGTAAAGATTGTTTGTAGTGATAATGGGACCGAATTTACTTGCATGAAAACATATTTTCGTGACAATGGTATAATTCACGAAACTTCATGTGTTTGGACACCACAACAAAATGGAAAAGTGGAGCGGAAGCATAGACACATTCTCAATGTTGCCCGAGCCTTGCGCTTTCAGGCTCAATTTCCAATTCAATTTTAGGGTGAATGTGCTCTTGTTGCGTGTTATTTGATCAATCGCACTCCTACAAGGAACTTGGATGGTAAGACTCCATTTAAACTCTTGTATGACACACATCCTTCTCTTGAGCACCTCCGTGTTATTGGTTGCTTAGCTTATGCATATAATCAACATCATGAGGGTGATATTTATTGCTCGAAATCAAAAATGTGTATTTGTGGGTTATCCATATGGCACCAAGGGATGGCGTATGTATTATTTAGAGCTGGGCGTTTTCTCTAACTCAAGAGATGTTGTTTTCTGTGAAAATGAATTTCCTTTTGCTGCCGAAATTTCGTCTGAAAATGATCACATCTTGCCTGGTGCATCTTTCAGTAATGTTATTGAAGACAATTCTCTTCAACTTGTTCCTACTATACCTGCAGTCCCGTTAACTCTAGCAATTGAAACTGCAACATTACTTGATAAAGATATGTCAAGTGTCACGCCACCTGTTTCAATTGTATCTCCTACTGGATCTTCTTCATTTGACTCCCATAATATGGCATCATTTGTTGAAACCAGTGAGGAACCACAGGCTGCAGACACTGTCGAAAATTTGGGACGTGGTCATCGTATCAAATTGCCTTCTACCAAGCTGCAATACTTTGTCACCAATACCATCACTAAGATATGCCCCTCAAATTGTTCTACTGCTTCGTCACGTCCTTCAGGTGCACCTTATCCCTTACCCAAGTATGTAAATTATGCTAACTTTTCACCACGACACAAGAAATTTTTGGCCGATGTTTCTGCAGCTACAGAACCTTAAAACTTTGCTGAAGCCGTCAAAAATATTCCATGGCGGGATGCCATGAAGCTGGAAATTGAAGCTCTTGAAAATAATGGCACTTGGACAGTAGAAACACTTCCACCAAACAAAAAGGCTATTGGTAGCAAATGGGTGTATCAGATTAAGTATCATTCAGATGGAACTATTGAGCGTTATAAGGCAAGACTTGTTATTATGGGGAACAACCAAGTTAAGGGGCTGGATTATCATGAAACCTTTTCACCAGTGGTGAAAATGGTAACTGTAAGAAAATTTCTCGCTGTTGCGGCTGCCAAGCGTTGGGAACTTCACCAAATGGATGTTCACAATGCCTTTTTACACGATGAGCTTGATGAAGAAGTATATATGAAATTACCTCTCGATTTCAAGACCTCTACACCAAATCAAGTATGTCGCTTACACAAATCTTTATATGGATTGAAACAGACACCTCGGTGTTGGTTTGCCAAACTAAAAACGCTCTGCTACGGTATGGTTTTATACAGTGCTACTCTGACTATTCTCTTTTTACTCTACATCGTGACTATGTAGAGCTGTATGTGTTAGTCTATGTGGATGATCTTATCATTTCTGAAACAACAACAAATCAATTGAGTCCTTTATTAAATCCTACTTGAACACATGCTTTCATATGAAAGATCTTGGCCCTTTAAATATTTTCTTGGCCTTGAGGTGGCTCGCAACTCCAATGGAATTTTCTTGTGTCAAAGGAAATATACACTTATATCTATCACCGAAGTTAGGTTGTTGGGAGATAAACCTGTTGGTTTTCCCTTAGATCAGAATCATCATCTTCCCTTGGCCATTGAAACTCCTCTTTCTAATCTGGATCGGTATCGAAAGACTAGTAGATCGTTTGGTCTACTTAACTATCACTAGACCAAACTTTCTTACTCTGTTCATATGTTGGCTCAATTTATGCAAAAACCTTTAAAAGAGCACTAGAACGCAGCTCTCCGTTTTGTCCGTTATCTCAAGGGAAATCCTGGCCAAGGTATTCTACTCCAAGCTGATTGTGATCTTCAAATTTATGCCTGTGTGACTCGGATTGGGCAGGATGTCCTTTGACTGTGCGCTCTCTCACTGGATGGATTATTTTCCTTGGGAATTCTCCTGCTCATGGAAAACCAAAAAACAACACGTTGTCTCACGTTCCTCAGCTGAGGCGGAATATCGTTCCATGGCTACTACCACATGTGAGCTCGAATGGGTTGAAATCAC